TCCGTCCTCGGCCGGGGAGCACCGCACCGCCTGGAAAACCTCCGCCGCGGGCCGGGAGGGACCTGCGCGATCAGAGCTACCCCCTCCAAAGAAACAAACGGGCTGGGACTCATCAAACTCTCTCAAAAGTATTGCAGCTCTGACAGCTTGTTCTCTTGGCCAATGGGGGACCTAAAGCTGTAGGGTATAGTTCTTAGCTCGGCCTGAAAAACATCCACCGTAGTCGTGGAGGGGCCTGCTTGATCAGAGCTATCCCCTCCAAAGCAACATGGGCTGGAGCTTGACAAACCCTATCAAAAGAAGCATTGCAGCTCTCACAGCTTGTTCTCTTGGCCAAGGGGGACCTAAAGCTTTAGGGTAATCGTTCTTAGCTCAGCCTGAAAAACATTTACCACCATCCCAAAGGGGCCTGCTCGATCAGAGCTATGCCCTGCAAAGAAATGAATGAGCTGGGACTCATCAAACTCTCTCGAAAGAAGTATTGCAGCTCTTGCAGCTTGTTCTCCTGGCCAAAGGGGGGACCTAAAGCTTTAGGGTAATAGTTCTTAGCTTGTCTGTTTCCTCCTGTATTCGACAGCAGTGACTGCTGGGCATTGAAGCACTTGCTCCCTGCTGCCCAAGGGCAGAGAGTGAAAGGTAATGTCTTCCAAGGGCAGGCTTCTGCCAATGACACTTAAAAAGATACTGTATATGTTTTCTTGTTATGCATGTAGACTTCTGCAGAATACATTTATGTAAGTATTCAAATTTTAAAATGTAGAGAAAGATTTTTGAGATTTATTTCTTTAAGAGTTGAAACAATAGTCATGCTGGACTCAAATTTTCCCTCTGAAGAAAATAGTAACATAGATGATGTAGTTCCAGTTTGTTACCCTAACACATTTTAATTAGTATGCATGTTTATTACAAGCGCCTGCATATAATTAAATGAAACCATAAGCAGCCAATGGGTGCATATAGTACCTGGCAGGTTCTGTTCATCAGCTTTCAAAGTTTCCTCACAGAAAATAGCCCCTGAAGCCCTAGTGCAGGCAGTTGATAAGTAGCATTTCCTTGTGCTGGGGTAAGACCGTTAAGGTTAAATGCTGAGAGTAACTTAAGTACGTTGGTATTTTCTCTAAAGGGCCTTTTGCGTGCTCTTTCAGCCAGTGGCCCAAAACATCAGTTTTCCTTCTGATCTTTTGCTTCAGGGTTAGGGATCCTGGAGCTGCCTGGCAGGGGGATGTTGGCAGTTTCCTAAGGAGTAAGACAACAGCATACTGCTGAGATGTAATGTCTGTCTTTCTCCTCATCTATTTTCCCAGCTTAGACAGACCATGACAAAGTTCTGTCAAGAGCATTTGGCTCCAAAGGCCCAACAGATTGATCAGGAAAATGAATTCAAAGGCATGCGGGTAAGTATTTCGTGTGTACATTTGAAAGAGATGGCAGCGAAAGCCTGGCTGTACTTTGATCTGTACATTAGTCCAGACAAAGGATCGCAGTCCACATCCTAAGAACACATGCATTAACTTTTCAAGCCTGAAAGCGATAGAGAAAACAGTTTTTTGATTTCCTGTTTTATCTTTTGTTAACAACTTTCAGCAACCTGGGGCAGAACTCAGCTAGCATCTAATTAAAAAAAATCATTAAAAATGGAGTGATAATGGTCTTGTTTACATTCTTATCATGGTATTTATGTTTGGCTCTGTATATGCTTTGTATTCTCCTAGCTAGGACCCGTTCTTGGATATCTGAGTTTCCTCTGAAATTTGTTGTGAAAATATTGTGTACAAATGCTGAAATGTAGAGTTGTTTGATTGTCGAACTGTAACCTGCCTTCTTAATAAAAAGAACAAATTCTGTGCAACAGGATGATTTGATTGATGAAAATGAGAGATGTAACTATTGGTTTCCATGAGCTCCACAAGACTTAAAAAGCTCAGAACATCTGCTAGGATTTCCCAGAGCTCTGATGTTGACATTTTCAGGGATATATGTGCAGCTTTGAAGTTAAGTATATAAATGTAGCCTGGTGTACCAGATGTCATCCAGAGCTATCGAATAATACAAAGTCTCTGGAGACTATTCACTGGTTGTTATCTGCTTGTTGGGCACTGAGGCCGTGTGACAAGCACTCTCCTGTGTGTCCATCATGGAACAGGGGAGAGGCTTTGGCCTGAAGCAAAAAGTTGGTTTCTTGAGCATACGTGCAGTCCTCATGGGTGCATAACTTCTGCTAAGCACTATTTGTGGCAGCCACAGACTGACAGGCCTGCACAGTGCTGCCAAAGAGTTAAATATGAGGAACTGTCCTTCAAGAATTAAATTTAGGCTGTGAATTTTTACTGAATTCAACAGACTAGTCGCATGTGTAGCATAACTAATGTCCTCAAGTCCGTCTGGGTTCTTAGTTCAAAGGACGGAGCTGCTGCTGCAGGAGGAATAGATATTGATGTATTTACCTCTGAAATATTGCAAGGATGAGGTAAATTGATGTGTCTGGTGAGCTGCCTGGGAAAACTTTTTATGCTGATGCCCTGGCTGCGAGTCTGGACTGATTGCTTGTTCTGTATTTGTAGGAGTTTTGGAAGAAACTTGGGGAATTGGGAGTTCTGGGGATCACAGCTCCTGGTAAGTCTGTTCCCACCTTTTACCTTCTGCTGGGTGATTCTTTAAACAAAAGAGTGACAAGTTGGCACTTAAACTCACCCTTTCCAGTTCATAACAACCTTGTCTGTGACGTGACATCTGTTTTGTCCAGAAGCTCCTATCTTTGTGTTTTTTAAAAACTTTTTTGCAACTTTTATTATTCTTCACTGACTCGGAATCCTTTTCCCTTGTTAGACTTCTGGATGATTATAAAATGCCCCTTACAGTTTAAAAGTCCTGTTCAGAAATAGTTTCTCCAGATATAACACATGCAACTCAAACACGTTTGCACTTCTGTAACACGAAATATTTGCTGCCAGTTTTGAAGAACAAGAGCTATAGATAAAAGTATCCCAGAACAAACATCCATCTTTAATAGGAGAAGTTAGAGGGTATAAAACAACTCTCTGAAAAGCTGCGACAACTACTGTAGAGCTGACCACCAGTCAGGAAAAAAAATCAGGGTAAATCTTATTCAGCCTTGTCCAGGTTAGTTGAAAAGTGTTTTGATTAATGTTATAGATGACTGAGGCTGCTGTGGTCATGCTGAATGCACTAACGCAGTGTAATGAGGAGAAGCCCTTAGTGGAGAAAAGCAGCCAATGGGGCCTTTATTTCCCCATCGTAAAGTCTGTGTTTCTAGATGTGCGTCTGCAAAGGCTTCTGCAGCAGCAAGCTGAATAGCAATGTGTTGAAATAATGCCTCCGCGTTTCTTTCAGTGGCGCTGAGTCTGCCTGAAAGAGTCTGTATTTCTGCTCTCTTTTCCCAATTTACTGCTGCTCCTGTTTTTTCTCACTCTTACCTTCTTTCTTCTTTGATGTTGTGCCTGAGGCTTACAGCAGTTTCCCACACTATAAATAAGCCATCCCCTCATGAGTCCTGTCCTTTCTGATTTCCTCAAAGATTTGCCTCTAAAACCCTCCTATGCCCAGAATTTTTCGCCTTGTTTTTGACTGTGTAGTTGTGTGCGCTTTCTTTACTGACGTTGGTTTTGTTGTAGGAGGTGGAGACTGGGATTTAGGGTGTGAAGATAATGTCAAATCTTATGAGGGTATATGCGCAATTAAGTGTCACATTTGGGCATTAGTGGCTCAAGTCTATTAGGGAAACATTTTACATAACAGTGCTTTTTGTTCTTTAAAGTAAGAAAACTATGTTACTTTGTGATTTATTTTTTGTTCCCATGTATTTTATAAAGAGCTAAGGTAAGAAGTGCCTGTATTATCATTCTATGGCAGCTACATATTTGCATGTCATGTACAAAGAGTAATTTTGAAAGTGCAACATCATTCTAAAACACACTGTGGTTTGCGTTGCCTGAGAATTTGTCTGGCAGGATGGTTTTCTTGTACCTCTCACAGTACACAGCAGTCCTGGGCCAGTACTGCTCACAGCACAGTGACCTTCCCTGTCTTGCAGCAGTAGCACCAAACCCAACCACTCCGCAGGAACGAATAGAAAACTCTCTTGTTCTGGTATATATGAGAAATTATTAAACCCCTCTTTTAGGAGATTGATAGTAGAACCCTAAACTCTGATTTGTGGTGGAGGGAGGTGATTTCAGAGCACGAGGAGCCCTGGCTTGCCACTTTGTGATTTAATCTTCTGATAATATTAAGGTTGCGCTTGCATTGAGAAGAAGGTCTCACTGTTGTGCGAGTGTGCGTGGCATATTTTAGGTCTGTCCTTATGCCTGTTATATGTTTAAAACTATGCTGTGCAAGTAAATTATTGATTATGCTGAAGAAGTAATATAGCTGTGCCTTTAAGATTAAAAAAAAAAGAAAGAAATTGGGAGAGGATGGAGAAAGCCAGGGACAGAGTCCATGAAAAACAGAAAGTCTTGTTAAGAATTTTAGTTCTCGTTCAAAACTGAGCCCATCCCTGGGATCTTTTGCACGTGTGATCCACTCCACGGTGGTTAACGGGAGGTTTCTCTTCTTTTCAGCGGAATACGGTGGATCTGCTTTGGGGTACCTGGACCACGTGCTGGTGATGGAGGAGATTTCTCGTGCATCAGCAGCTGTTGGGCTTAGTTACGGTGCCCACTCGAACCTTTGTATCAACCAGCTCGTGCGTAACGGCAATGAGGCCCAGAAAAACAAGTACCTGCCCAAGGTGTGTGGCTGGAAGGGGGGGAAACTGCAAAAGCATTTGGGTTCTGGCTGCGTGAAAGAATCGGTGTCTTTCACAGTTGTGTAACGTTTTTGGCATTAGCCAATTTCAGTCACCCAACATTTAGGAAACACTGTACTTGCCAGACTTGCCCTTCTCTAGCTTTTCTTTCTGTCCTGTTAATCCATGTCAACTTTGACCTGTGCCGAGGTCTGTCCATAGACAGCATAGCCCAGCTCTCTGGAGCTCTGTTACTGAATGAGGCTTTGGTGTGACGCTGGATTCTTCCGACTTTTCAAATTGTTTTGAGAGTTCCAAATGAAACTCCCTGCTTTCCGATTTGATATTCTCCGTTCCACGCTGCCCAAATTCTTGGTTTGCCTATGCTAATTAACTGCACGTGAAACTTCTTCCTCATCTGAGGCATTGATGTTTGTGACTCAAAAGTGTGTTAAACAGATTTCAGTATTTAAATGCAGGGAAAAGCTTAACTAGTCGATCGAATCCCAGCTACTGAAATTATCGGCTCAAGGAACTTGATTTAAACCACATGCGCAGTACAGTGTCGCTTCCTCAAGGCATCGTGCAGCCTGCTAATACGTAACCCTGAATTGTCCTCGTGTATTTGAAAGGCAGTGAATGAGGCATTAAATGAGATGTGCAGTCACTTTTAGTTCTTACTTCTCTCGGTTCTTGACAGAGTACTTAACGGTACTTAACTAGTTTTGAGTGGATCACGAAGAAATGCACTGATGGATTGAGCTGGTTGAACATACATCTTAAGCATTGCGTCTGTTTTTAATAAAATGAGATCAAAAGGAGGAGAAGACAGATAAAAGTACACGGAGCAGGGGGGAACCAACACAAAAGACAAGGAGAAAAGGGCAGGATGAAAAGCACAGTGAAGAGGAAGCAGCAGCCATGCCAGAGCCTGGCGTGAGCGGGCCCGAGAGGAGGGTGTCCATCTGCTGCTGTGGTGCGAGTGTGAGGGACCGGGCTGGGAGAACACTGCGAAGAACTTAGCGATCTTTTCGTTGCCCTCCTGGGCCTTTTGTGTTTAACAGCTCTTGTGTGTGGAAAAGGCCAGTCATGAACTGCAGAACAAGGGGCTTGTGAAAAACATGTGGCTGCCCACGTGGTTCTTCTGGCACCTTCCTGGAGATGGTGTTTTATAAGCAGGGCTGTACTCACCTATCTGAGACATGAGTTATCCTTCGCTTCCTGCTGGGTGTTCCCTCGGCACAGCAGCACGCGGGAGCTCCCTGCTAGGACTCTTCCAGGAATGGCAGCTCTTGTTGCCAGTTCTTGCATGGAACAGCTACTGTGGAGATTCAGTGCAGAAAAAAAAAAAAAAAGGCTAAAGAGGGAACAGGAACAACGCTTCTACTCTCCATTCCTTGCTTATATCTGTCTTGTCTTCCAGCTAATCAGCGGGGAGCACATTGGAGCCTTAGCAATGAGTGAACCCAACTCTGGTTCTGATGTTGTGTCCATGAAGCTGAGAGCAGATAAGAAAGGTAAAGCCTGGCACGTGCTGCCCAGATAGAGAGCCGGTGTAAATAATGTCTCCTGTAAATTTGGACTAGCTTCCCCAGCACCCCTGAGATACGGGGTTTGGTTTTGGGTATGCCAGGCTTGTGCTGCCTCCCAGAAGGTTCAGTGTGCAATAAAGCCAGATCATGAAGACACGAGGTGGATGGCTGAGGGTCTAACAGTGGGCTCCTGATTGTGATGGTGGAGGCTGATGGTATGATGGAACCAGAGGTGGTGCCTTAGTTAGCCAGGCACTTGTTACACGGTCTCTGGACTCCAGAATAGAAGCAAATGAGTTTTCTTGAACTGGGGAAGGATTTGTGCACACTCTTTGTGGGGGACTTAGAGAGCATCTTTTGAAATAAAGGAAGTGAAGGTATAGGTGTTGCCCTGTTGTCTGTTGTGAGGTGACAGATTGTGGCTCTTCGCTTCTAGGAGACTACTTTGTTTTGAATGGGAACAAATTTTGGATCACCAATGGGCCAGATGCAGATGTTCTTGTCGTTTACGCTAAAACTGATGTTAACGTTGTACCAGCCTCCCGAGGCATAACTGCATTTATTGTGGAGAAGGTAGGTTTAATAATTCACACAAGCGTATTGTAGTGTGGTTTATAAAGCTAACGCTTTCACCCTAGCTGGCTCATTTAGGAGCCAGCTAGTTTTCTTTCTGTAACTGTCAAAGATAAACTACTTTCTGCCTGGATTTTATAAACCCGTGAGATTAGTGCTCTGCCCCAGTGACATGGCAGGATGCACTGTCAGCTGGACACTCCTGGATTTTGGTATCCAAGCATGTAACCAGTCTTTAGGGCTGGAAATGCGGAGAGAGCAGAAAAGATGCTCGTAGAAACGGGCTTACTTGTTGCCAGAAACTGTCAGAGATATTGCAGGCCTCATAAATATGTCCTGCTATCCTGTTATCTAACTTTGTGTCATTGTGTTTAAGCTGAGGCATTAAAATAGCTATTTTATTTTCTTCTCCCCGTTTTCTTGTGCTGCCCTATTGGAATCCTGAAATGACCCAAACGTGCTTGCGGAACAGAGTCAGAATAGGCAAAGAAAGCAGAAACAGACTGTTCCATGGGGACCCCTTGGAAAACAGGAGTCTGCTGGGGTGGTTTTTATCATCCCTTTATAATTATTTGAGGCTATGCTATACACATCTCTGTCACCGCAAGGAAGACGAGAAGCTGACAGTCTTGACTTTGCAGGGAATGCCAGGCTTCAGCGCAGCCCAGAAGCTCGATAAGCTGGGAATGAGGGGGTCTAACACCTGTGAATTGATCTTTGAAGACTGCAAGATCCCTGGTGAGTTGGGTACAAGTCATGCCAGTATGAATGTGGTTTCCTGATTTCTTGATCAGATCAGCTGCATCACTAATTACCTGCATGTTCACACTGTGACCTAGAGGGCTTTGCAGATGATTATCTGCTCTTCAGCTGCCTGGCAAGAACGCTGGTGAAACTGGGCAAGTGCAAAGTGTGCTGCGTGCGGTGAATGAGCCCATTCCTTGTTAGGTCACTCCTGTTTCACCCTCATGGACCTAACTCTTAACCTCTGCTTCTGCAAAGCCTGGGTGAGCCTTCCTAAGAAACTTGTTTCCATTGGAGCTCCCCATTTCAGATATAGGAGAGCTTATTTGCCTCGAAGTTTTTGTGGTTTGTTTTCTCCAAAATCACTGGAGACTATCCTACGGGCTTTTGGTTTGCCTCTAATGTTTCTGAGTTCTTTTGGAATCAGGGCCTGAAAATGGCTTGAAGATCCTTTCTCCTGTTGGTTAGTACAGCAGGAGCTGCTGTAAAGGCCAGCTTTGCTCCTCTAGTGGCTGTTTTTGTTGACAGAAAAATTACAACCTCTGTGCAGTGAGTGGAGGAGGTGCCTTATCTGAACTCATGAAGTCCTAATTGCACATCTGCAGA